GTTCAAAGTCTCAGTACGATTTACTGTACTGTACTTTGATCTAAATTATAGAAGACCTGTCCCATCAAATCAAGAAAACAAACGCCACAGGGATTTTTCTTCTTTTCACAAGGTGGTAGGCAATTTCCTGGAATTAGGAAATTGAGGAATGATGAACCATTCCAGCAGTAGACCGTCCAGGAGGAAAACGTTGTCGAATAATCTGCAGAAACTGAGGAAATTCCCTAAATATAAAACTTCTGTGGTAGAATTTTGTAAGAGTTCTTTTGAATTGATGTCAGAAATACGTTCAATTGCATGAAAAAGTCCCATGTAGAATGGATTAATTTGGCATATTCTGTCGAAGTTCATGGTGCCACTCCAAATTGAAAATATTTCTGATGCAGGAAAATCTAGTAAATGCTCTGTTTCAAGTTTGTTTTTTCGATACAGCAGACAAGAAAAAATTTGGAAAATTCATCCTTTTTAAATTCTTGACTAATTTCCCCTTTTCTTTTCAGACATGAGCCACGTTCAATCATCATCTGCTATACAGATTATATTTTGTTGAAAATAAATCGCAATTTTCCAGAGTTTTGATAACATTTCAGGAAATAGTGGAGATGGAATGGAAAATTCCCATATCGCAGAAATACACGGGCACGGGGGAATGGAGGGATGAATAATTTGACAGGAGCGAACTTTCCGTCAGTCACGAGTTCCGGAAATATTCACATATACGAGTATATTCACGAAGGCATACTTCCCGTCCATTTCTTGGAAAATAATAAAGCTTTTCCACAAATTAAACGCAGCAAACCGCAAGTACCCTTCTATCCTTGCATAAATCAAACAGCACGTCCCTTTAACAAAGCAGCCGCTGAGTGGTGAAAGATCAAGAATAAATTCTAGGCATAGATTTTGGCGCAGGATGATAGTCGGGCTCAGGGTGTTCCCATAGATGTGAGGCATCCCGTAATTCAATTAATCCCATGCAGTGCAAGGGTTCGATAATATTACACACCGTATATAAATAAAATATACCTCGAAGCAATTCAATGACAAGAAACGCTAAATCTTCTTGCCGTCGACAGAATGTGGGTTTTTGGGGGAGCTTCAGTCCCAGCAGCTGTGAATAGATATACCTATACAGTATACGAGTATGTAGCCTCGGGTAAGTGTCTTTATTCCCTAATCCAGAAAATGCAGCGAACCCATTTCTAATATTTGAACAAGGTTTCAATGCAAGACCACGCCCTATAGCAGCATGACCTTTACACTCCATTTTTCGAAATTTGCTGAATCGAATTGGATCATTATAGTACCGATCATTGATCGCGGCGATTGATGAATTGATTGATTAATTTGAGCTACAAATTCACGTAAAACTATCGCCATTATACACACTAAAGTTTTAAATATAAAATTTTCAAGATAAAGTGAAAATCAGAACAGATTAATCAATCCATTTACCATCGAATAAAACGTGATTTCAATTTTCTGCTTTTTATTTGATTTATTTGCAATGTGATTCAAGCATAAGTGCGAGAAATTCATGAAAGTTTCTGGAAAATTTTATACTCAAATATAACCTGTACCCCAATGGGGGGGGGGGCGTTAATAATGTACAATAACAAGGTACTTCGATCATCGTACATTCATCAGTATGAAAGCCATTTTCCAATATTTTCTAAAAAAAAAAACGACGTGAATTCGTGCGATATCGGTGTGAGGAACTCTTGGAATACCGAATACTAAATTATCGCATTTGAGGCGAAGTTCACAAAGGTCGGATTATGCAAATTTATGTGAAGCACGCCTTGTCTCGATGACGCATGACGGTGATGCTCATGCAATCGATCTAAGCATGATTGGTTTCAGACTACCAAAGCCAATTATATGCTTTTAAGTAATGACAGGTTTTTGTGCGTGCAAAATTACACAGTCGGCAAAGTTGAAGTTCACTCCATCAATTTCTGGTAGAAGGGACGCGTGATCAGGTCTATATCAAGGTGAAGCAGATCAATACTGTCGGATCCATTCGGCAGATGCTAACTTGTAACTTGTTGTTCAATGCTAATGAATTGAATTTCGGTCAATTTAAACCGAACAAGAAATCAAACGAAGTCGGGTGAAGTGCAAGAAAATCGAAGTGGGGCTCATGCTGCAACATCAATACTGTATATATACAGTACTGTATAGCGTATATAATTTTTTCCTTTCTCTTCAAGAATATGCTTTGGATCACAACGTGTACAATAGCTGAACCAACGTGTAAAAACTTCTTTCAGCGAAAACATCGTAAACATGCTCCACAGCGGAGCCATGGCGGAAAATTGTCAGATGAAAGGATCCCTTCCTTCATCAGCTATTTCAGGAATTTAATAAGAAGCTCTCTAGTAACACGAGCTGAGTAGCATACCTTTCCTTGGTGAGATTGTATCCCGATTCACGAGGCTTGTAAGGTTTTACAAGTAGAAATAGGTTTTATCAAGCCTTCCACTTTGACTTTTTTGGCAGAGTAAAAGAATTTTGACTTTTGATTGATTGAATCAGAACACAGCAATTGGCCGGGTGCGAACCGACCAGGATTTCTCCCACTAGCGCAGACCTTTCTTTTTGTCCCACAAGAAATATCACAGTATACAGAATTCGTACAGGTACAGTCACACACACTCACAATATCTCAACCAGAAAATATTTCACAATGAAGTCACAGAAATGTATGACAATAAAAAAGAAGGGGGAGGTCAAGGAGTTCAGAGATGGACTAGACAAGAATTTTGGTTTTCACCAAGATTGCTTTGATGGCACACTAAAAAATCTCTGGGAGAAATGATAACTTGATTGCCAAATTTGGATAACAATTCGTACACCAAATTTAAAAGGAACAACAGATTGTTTGTCAGATTTTGTACTTCTACATTCAAAAGAGAATTCTTTGGCACAAGTTTTTCAACAGGTTGATTTTAAGATTGTAACTGAACTGAGTTGCCCAATTTTGAGGGTTTATATGCACAGTTTTGATTGAAAAATGCACAAGGTTTTGGTATGATTGTTCCAGAGATGGAATAAATAAATTCCACAATAATGTTTTGTACACAATTTGGCTAGAAACCAGAATTTTGATCACCAAACAAAAGCAGAAGAACCCGGATGAACTGAAAACAGCAACGTTGCTGAGTTGTTAGCAAAAGTACAAAAAGGTGCGTAAGAGTGGGATTAAATATCTTGAATTTAAACTTGGTGGTTTTGAGGAGGAAGTATAAGGATGATCAAAAGATGGACTTAAGTTTTGTTCACAATCACAAAAGTTCAGAAAGTTTGTAAAGTCTGCAGAGTTTTATTTTTCCGAATATTTTTGTACAAATTTTATGCACACAACGTGACTTGCTGGAGTTGGTAATTCAACTGTGTCTGTTGAGAACATTTTGGGGGTTATATAAGAGATCTGCTCTTGTTTTGGCAGGGCTTTTCTTGGTTGTCAGTTTGAAAACACCAGGTGGTTGCTGACAAAGTTTTCCAACAAGCTGTTTTACAATTTTATGGGTCCGTGTTTTCCCAGAACTGGGTGTTCAGTTTTTGTGGAGGCAGTTGGTTTTACTAGAGTAATTTAGCAGCTCCTGACAGCTTGAAAAGTTTTCTTCTTTCAAAGATAAATTGATTTTTAGCGGGAAATAGGAGACAAATTTTTAGGGTACGTCGCCAGCAGCTGGCTGTAAATTTTGGCGTATATGAGGGTCAAATGACCCTGGTCTCATGACTGCAGAAAAGAAAAAAGAAAAAAGGAGGGTGGAGGGGATTAGTCTCCCCCTGTTAAAGAAAGTCGCCGACTCTGGCAATTGTTTTTGTCCCAGTTCTAGGAGTGATTTTCTTTCTTTTAATGGCGATTTGTATTGCCAATTTCCATCGCCCAGTTCTGAGGGGTTTTCTTATCTTTTTTGGTTGTTTCTGCGCATCCGGAGATGCGCAGATTAAATTACGAGTCAGCTCGTTCCTTTTGGTTTTCAATTCTAAAACAGGCTGCCGAAAAATTCCGCACAAGGCTTTTCACAAAAAAAAAAACGCTTACCTTTCATCATTGTATTTGATGCTCTGGCCGGATCCTGTAAATGTATACAAAATAAATAATCACCATTATTCGGGTACTTGGTGTGTTGACGTCAGATAATAAGAAGCGGAAGCGTTCTGAAATTCTGTTGATGAGGACAAGATGGTAACTTTCAAGTGCTTTTTGCTGAAACTACGGAAGCTGATAGTTACAAGTTTGAGCGGAAACTTTCTGTTTTGAGATGCAACTGCGTTCTCTCAGCAGGCCCAATGCTTGAGTTTAAAGTTTTTGAATGTTTGTAAATTTTGAGTTCTCACTTGGACTCAACATTTTCGCTTTTGATATATTGCAACGTACATTATTTTTAAATACGCTCCGTTTATATTGGAGAATATTTGAGCTGATGTGTCGCATTTATATTGTAATACCTTTGACGACAATTTCATTTTATTTCAGCAAAAAAAAGCAATTGAACACATTTTAACAAGACAGGATAGGTTTAAAATTTGCACTAAGTAATCCTCACTTGCGAGAATGAAGATGTAGAATATACGATGTGTCATGTCTAAAGAAGGTCTGGTGACCAGAAACCATCTTCATAAATTCAAATTTTGATGCAAATGAATTGAAACGCATTTCTTCATCGATGATTTCGAGACCCTTGGTTAGACACAATTTATTATTTACGAAGTGTTCAAGTAGTGTTTATGTTGTCACTTGACTCGAGTGTCGAATACGTACCATAATAATCTTGCGATTCACTTACTCGGCGAGTTGAATCTTTTAATTTCTGAGAATTTGCGTTTTTTTCAACAATTGATTATGAGTCTGTTTTCCAATATGTACAGTGATGAGATATTAGACTGATGAGGTTAAAAGCGAGAGCTTATCGTGGCAGTGCTGATAAGTACTCACGCAACCAATGCCGTTGTACAATGGGATTTACAAAAGATGGGCATTGATCCAATGAAGGTTAAGCTCAAAAATATTGCCTCTGTTGAGGATTATCCCCCTCGACAAACTTTTATCTGTTCCTTGCCGTTTTGCTTCGTTTTCTTTTTGCTTCCTCCCGCGTGTGCTACAACAGCTATGAACGTTTGTCGGTTCCTCCTGACCATCTTCTTCATCATGCAAGGGGGCCTGTGGAACAACTTGATGAAGAAGCAGTGAATGAAAACTTCTGTTTGTCGATCTACTGAGTGTCTCTATTGGGAAGTCTCTGTTTTTGGCACGTTACTCCGGAGACGAAAGCTGAGCATAGGCAGCTTTGCGAGAAGAGTAGCTGCGGAAGAAGAACGGAAACGGAAGACGCCTATTGTCCGGCACCGCATCGAGTCGTTGAAACTAAATCTTTGCGATGAAGTGAGACATGTTTTGCGCAAACAAATTATTTTCCGGATTGCTTGGATTGATTTCTTATAAAATCGAAAAATGGGTATAAAACATGTATATTATGTTAATTTCCGGTGCCTCGCGTTTATAATTTCTTGACTCAGCGATCTGAGTGTGATGAAATTAATTCACTTCACAAAAGGCAAACAAATTTTTGCTTCGAGTCAAGAAATTCAGTAAGCTAAATATCAGTAAGATTTAGTTGATAGCTTTCAAATTTTGATTAGATAGAAGTTTTAAGTGAAATTCACAATTGATGAACAGGAAATGAAACAAACTTGAGCAGTTCTGCAGCCGGGACCTTAATTCCTAGTATGAATTGATATATTATTCTTCAATAGTTTTGGAAAGATCTGTTTGATTTGACAGCAGACTGCAGAGTGAAAATCTTGGGGTTTTTGATATATAAGAATGCTTTTTTGGATTAGGATTTGGAGGCTGAATCGGGCCACTTTCATTGAAAGCAGGGATTCTGTCCTTGGATGAATCTGGGAACCAAACCTGGGTTTGGTTCTCAGGCTCTTGAAGAATGTTGTTTAAAGATTATTGCTAATTCAGACTGGTGCTGTTTTAAACGGCAAATTTCTTCTAGGTTTCGAATTTTTTCCTGACACTGAGGCAAGAAGCATGGCAGCAAGAAAAAGATTCCACAAAAAATCCATGGACCAATTTCTGAATATTTTAAAATCTGGGAACGGAAAAACTACAGAATTGGTCGGGACATTGAGCTTGATTGGTTTTTTGAACCAGAAAATAATAACCGTCGCACTTATTTTCGAATCAAGTTCCTGTTTTTAAAGTTTGCAATTTATAGAATTTATATACTGCATATTGAAAGTCGACCGGAATGTTTGTGATCTACCCTGTAAGTTTGATTCAGGCGAAATTACCAGAAAAAGTAAGAAGTGAATTTTTGGCACCAGTTTCCTCATCTCCGAAAAGTTGGCAGGATCAGTCCGTAATTTTACGCGTATTTCGAAGTAAAGAACGCTTTTGAATTTTGCTGTGACGGAAATGTTCTGAATCACGTCGCAGAAGAAGTACTGTGCCAACGGAAATACAAACAAAAATTTAGTCTTTATGCTCTTCAATCCAAGATTTCGTTTTTGATCGCGATGATATTTTATTCGACTGGTAATGTGGTAGTTTAACCAAATATCTGTCTTATGATGAAAGGAAGATTAATATCAGAACTACGCGAGGAATTCCCCCAATTTACCCAAACAATGGAGAAAAAAATGATCAGTTGCATATGCTGGATGTCAATTTTTTCAATACTCTTCTCTCGCATTTCGTTGAACAGAAATCGGTATACTGTTTTAACTGCTGAGTTTGTTAATCGTTTCCTTTCTAATGAAATTTTTCCAGCTTCTCCGGAAATTTTTCTCGTTTTTTCACATCCTCTTCCCCATTATATTTTCTATCGCTTCAGAATTTCATACGTAGAAGATGCCTGAATGCAAAGATGTTTCTGCTGGTTCCACTGGATAAATAATTGCATTATTATTACTAATTATGTCAGGATGGACTTTTTCTTTGCAGCTCAATGTTCAGATCTGTTGTTGTCCCGTTTCTTTTGTCTGCTGAACCGATTGGCGAAGCCATTCCCATTCAGGACGGATCATCCGACGAAGAAGACGTAAGTGCGATTTTCATTGAAGTTTAAAGCTTTATTAGCATATCTCGCTGTGAACAGAACGAAAATATGTAACCATTTCCTTAGATTTCAATTGAAAGTCTTATGAAGAAGTAACCTTCTTTGGTCGATGAAAGTTTTTCTCCGCTGCTCAGCGTAGAATGTAAGAAACTATATAGGAATAAACATTTTGTGCGTCTCGGAAGCGAAGGAACATTCTCATTCTGGACTTGACAAATGATCCCTGATCATCACCAGGAAGTACTATCTCGGCAAGTTCACTGGAGGTGAATGCCAGAAGACTGTCAAGGTACTGAATGCATCCTATAGCAAAGGTTTACTGTACGCTGTTTGAAAAGAGGAAAAAAAACCAGTTAGCGTATTATGTTTTGGGAAACGCTGATCCATGGTTGAAAAATGGTGTTGGGCTTCCTTGAGATACTTCTTTGAAAACTGCATCCAATATACAGTGTATATACGTATACCACGCGTCTGATCGTTAGCTGGACAGCTATTTTCTCTGGGATACGTTATTAGCAAAAGCGGTTCTCTCTCTGGCATGGAGCAAACATTTTACTCTTATCTATTCCTTCTATAGTTCTATCTCCCTTCGTGCACCGGTTAAGGACGTGCTGTAATTTGTTTCAGTTGAGACTGGAGAGCAAAATACGCAACTCAGTTGCAGCAGTGAAGCAGAAATCCCGCGCCCAGCAAAGCGTCGACTCAGACTTTCTGGGATTCAAACCCAAGAGAAGTGAGCTATTTTTTTCCCCTTCATTTTTGCGGTAGTCCTTATTTAGTAGGATGAACATTGTCTCGATTAAACTTTCCTTCACGATTTCCAGCTCAGCGTGAAGCGCCTTTTCGCATTTGATGTTTTTTTGCCGTGGCAATATTGTAATTGCATTATTCTTCGTTTATTTATCATGAAATTTCTATTTTGGTTAAAATTGCTCCAGGTTGTTAGAATGATCGCTTTCCGTTGGAGATTTAGTAATGGTTCTCTTTGAATTCAAATTCCTTTGTACATAAATAGTTCTCGTTATTTTGGAGAACTCCATCATTTTGCCAATTTTGACGCGGCATTTTGTTTAAAGTCATAAGCCTTGTATCCTGGGGAAATTGTCCAATTATTCGAAAGAAACAGAGGCTTTTGAACAACGGAGAATGGAGGCTTTGAACCGTGACCTTATGACATACAAGTTTAGAAAAAATACAGTTTCAGCACATTTCAGGAATATTGTACAGGTTTTGAGGTACCAATTCAAATGAACAAGCCGCTGTTGTTGCAAAAGTTCTGCAATATGTTTTATCCACTTCAGTAAAATAATGATTCCTCCGTCAGCAATACTTCAATGAATTTTTAGCAAGGCGTTCGCCAACATCGCAATTTTTCGCTCGATAAAAGCAATTCACGCGCATTTCCTCCATGGTGGCTTTTAGCATTGATCCTGGCGAGAAACACTTCAAGCTCTCGCTCTTTTAAACCATCTTTTTTTTCTAGGTTTTTGGGCATTTTTTGTTCGAGTAATAGCGCAACATCAAAATAAGAATTATTGGCCATCCCTGAGGGGTCGTACATTTTAATGCAAAAAGGAAAACTCAACTGGAACTCTTCCACCTTAGAAACAAGGTTTTCTGGTAAACATTTTCATCCTAAAAACTTAAAAACGTTTAAAAATCAAAATTTTGTACATCGTCCAAATTCGATATTCGTTTATCTTTCTGCGGAAATGCTCGTGGGATCAAAGAAAAATATCAACCGAAGCTGCATTTTTTCATCCTTTGAAAATTTTTTCATGTAAAAAAAGGTGTGAGTCACTTATTTTTTATATAATAAAATTTCGGAAATTGCCTTTCGTTCACACGAGTCATTCAATATGCGAGGAGCGAAGACACACTGTACGCTCCCTTTAGTGATGTCAGCTGAAAATTAAGTTATAAATCGCTTTTTACTCACGTAAAACTTTAAAAATTTTGGTCTACTCCAAATGGAGCAGAAGAAAATACGCTGACAAGGATTCCTGGCTCAGCAGTCAGCAGTGAAGATAAGAAATATTAAGTAGCTAATTTTTTCCTCACTTATACAGAACACAGTCACATCTTTCCTCCTGACCTCGAAAGCCTAGTTAGAGGGTGGGCCCGAAGAGCCTTCGACTAGTGCACGCTGCGGTAGCGAGTTGAAGTTACGTAACCCGCCATCTTGTGCGACGCGGTCATTTTTCCTGGTTTCGCACACACAGGCCACCCCTAGTTTATATCAAATCCCCCGGAGGAACCTAAACCCGTGATTTCCCGAAAGATAGATCCCATCACTCCCTACAGTAAAAAGGAGCAATTCGTTTCACTGCGCAATTCCGCCTTACACTGGCTCAAGAAAAGAAATATTTTCGGGTCTAACTATACAGTGGGACCCTGAGATGCGGATGTAATTGGCGAATGGACCATGTCCCTAAGTTGGAATGTCTACATGTTGTACCGCATTTCCCAATGCCTTCAATGGGGACAGGGGACAGTTTTTATTGGTTATCTTGTAAAGTCCTTCAAAAATAATTTTTAAAAAATTACCTTCAACTAAAAGATGTAGAAAATATATGTGCAGAAGAAAACTGCACAGAATCTTATCTTTTATTGGCATCAGAAGGAGCTGAAGAAGCAAATAACAAAGAGCAAGTTGTATACTGAGCACACATGATGGAAAAAAACTGATAAAAGAGGCACACAATTAGCCTGAAATTGATTATGAATCAGTGTAAACTTTATAATGAAAATATTACTCTGAGCATTTTTAATTTTTAATACAGGTGTTACTCTGCACTTTGGCGCTATTTGGTTGCTGGACTAGGGTCAAATTTCAAAGCAGTTGAATTGCAAGATACTGTGTAAAATTAAGAAACAGCAGCAAAAAACATTAGAAATGTGTCTGAAAGAGGTCAAATTGCAAGGCAAAGGTCAAATTGCAAATCAGCACCAGCACAGCAAATTTTACTATTGAATGGTGGGATTTTCAAATTGTGGGAGGTCAAATTGCAAAGTAGCACTTGTAGTTCAATTGTTTCAAAAATCAAAAAATTTTTTAAAAATTTAATTTTTTTCATAAGTTTTGGAAAAGTTTGCATATCTCAAGTCGCTGTCCAGAAGTCAGGGAGAATTTTTGTTTTAAAGGTCCCCAAGTCCAATTTTTGTAGGTATGTCGAAATGCCCAAATTTCAGGGTTTCATTGTACTGAGACAGCGTTTTATTCTCACTTCGCTGACTTTCCTTCATGGTACCTCGATCTCAGCCGCGTAACCATTCGTGCTTGCAACGTTACGAAACGATGAAATGTCGTTCTCTTTTTTTTTTTCTTGCTTCCTATACAGTGCATTCATGCCACAGTAGAGCGGATAAATCAATTTCGGAAACGAGTCGGTTCTCGGGTCTGCTCCGGAATCCGCGAGACGCAATTGGAGACGCCCACGACG